GATATATCCGGATATAAACTAAATTCTATATAAACTTCCTAAAATCACTGTTAGCAACTCACTCTCCAACAACCACCCTCGGATATATCCGGATGTAAACTAAATTCCATATAAACTTCCTAAGATCACTGTTAGCAACTCACTCTCCAACAACAACCCTCGGATATATCCGCATGTAAACTAAATTTCATATAAACTTCCTAAAATCACTGTTAACAACTCACTCTCCAACTACAACCCTCGGATATATCCAGATATAAACTAAATTCCATATATACAACAGTTCACATGAAATCAAAAATYGAAAACAACCTTGGAATGCTCAGGATAAATAGAGACGAACTGCTTAGGTGACGGAAAAAAACGGAGGCGAACGGAGAGGAAGGCAGACAAACATCAGCCGAAGACAAAGGTAGGCATAAACGACCGGAGAAGAAGAACGGACAAAAATGTCTTTCGAACGGGATAAACAGAGACGAGATGCTCTAGCAACGGAGAAAAACGGAGCCAGCCAGAAAGGAACGCAAACAAAGATGGACAGTCGGAGAAGAAGAACAGACGGTCAGAGGAAGAAGAAAGGGGTTTCGAAAATGGATGATTTTGGGATTTTTAGGGTTTTGGTATTTTTTTTTTATTTTGCAAAGTATAATTAAGCACATTTTAAGGGATTTACATTGTAACCTCCCAATTTACCAATTCTAGATTTTAAAAATTATTTAATATTGAGGTGGATCCTTGAAGGATATACTAGTAATTTGTGGGATGAGTACCATCTTAATTAGGATTGTTTCATAACAAAAGTGTAAATTCTATACTTTTCAATCCTTTTACGTAATTATGATTCCTAAATAGACCATCAATGTACTAATCTCTTTAAAAAATGGCTAAACCTATGAGATATTGCAATAATGCTTAAATGATTTTTTCTTAAAAAATACTGAGAAAATGTTTTGACAAATATACCATCGTAACCAATTAGGTATATATACATAATTTTAGGGATTTAAGATGTAATGCCCCAGAACGTTCCACACGCTTCTAGGTCACGTTAACTACCCACCTGTCTAACCTTAACTCCAAACACGAGATAACAACTCCTTGTGAAATAATTATGTAAAATAAAGCTTCAACTCCCATCAATTTACCAACAAATCAACCTTACAGAATATCAATCAAACATCATCCGTGGACAACCCCATGATGCAATTTCATTATTCCAAGTAGGCAAACTCAATGAATGGAAGAAAACTAAAATAGACACCTATTCCGAAATAAAGTAGACAATGAGTGGGAACCTCCCAATTATTCAAATAATAACAAGTAGTTTGTGACCAAACCATAAAGTTTTAACCATCTAAACCTA